CTTTCTGTCCACCCAAACACACGAATATAACATTGTAGCTAAGAACATAAGTTATTTATTTTAGACAGAGGAAAAAAGAGATGAAATGCCAGTGAGAAGTCAGCATTAAGTGCTCAATCAACTAGTATCTCATATGCTATATTCTAAAAGTTTATTTTAACTTGATTTAATGATTTTTCCTCTTTATTGTCCCCAAGCTACTTAGTAAAAATGACTGATCATATTGTTGCTTTTGATTCCTTAGATCCCGGTCATTTAAAAAAAATCTTTGTATAGTTTAGATTTTTTTAAAAAGGATATTAAATTTTTTATCTGTTCAACTTGGCTTTACTTGCTGTATAAAGAAACCATTTGATTTATTTACAAAACCTGAAGCATTTACCAACTAAAACCTTAAGTACAGAATTTCTAACCCAATGCCTAACAATTTAAAATTAAACTCAACAATTGTTAGCAATTTCTCCATTCAATCTCAGGTTTACTGAGTTAGTTCGATCAGAAATCAAATACAGAACATTGTTCTTCCTAGGTAACAAATCACAGAGGGATAGCTGCTTTAGTCTGTAACTTAAAAAAAAAGCTTAAAAAATGAGTGGTCCTGTAGCACCTAGGAGACAAAACTATCTAGATAGATAGATAGATAGATAGATAGAGCGAGAGAGAGAATCATGAGCTTTTGTGAGCACAACCCATTACTTCAGATGAGTGGAGCAAGAAGCATAGAAACCTCAACATTGCTTTAAATCTGCTTTACATTTTGGAATTTCTGTGCCTCTCTCTCCACTCATCTGAAGAATTTGAGGAAGAACAAGTAGCCCATGAAAGCTCCTAATACTATGTGTATATATAATTTTTTTTGTTAGTCTTTAAGGTGTTACAGGACCACTCATTGTTTATTAATTTTTTTCAAGTTAAACAAGTGTGTATTTTAAAGTAGTAAGAATATAACAGCAGCCATACTGGGTCAGATCAACAGTCCATCTAGCAGTATTCTGTCTTCCAACAGTGGCCAATGCCAGATGCCCCTGAAGGAGTGAACAAAACAGGTAATCATCAAGAGATCCCTCTCCTGTCATCCATTTCCAGTCTCTGACAAATAGAGGCTAGGGACACCATTCCTACCTGGCTAATAGCAATTGATGGACCTATCCTCCCTGAATGTATCTAGTTCTTTTTTAACCCAGTTAAAGTCCTGGTCTTCACAACATCCTCTGGCAAGGAGTTCCACAGGTTGACTTTGCGCTGCATGAAACAAAACTTCCTTTTGTTTGTTTTAAACCTGCTACTTATTAATTTCATTTGGTGACTCCCTAGTTCTTATATTATGGGAACAAATAAATAACATTTCCTTATTCACTTTTTCCACATCAGTCATGATTTTATAGATCTCTCTCATATCCGTCCCTTAGTCTCCTCTTTTCTAAGATGAAAAGTCCCAGTACTGACTTTAACACAGAGTTTTCACTTTATGGTAATGAACATAAAAGCCTTTTTTGCTTATGCTACACATTACGGCCACTCAGAACCATACAGTGACAGGCTAAGATAGATCTCTGATTCTCCTGTTCCAGAAGCACAGTCCCTTACCATTTTAACATAACATTAGAGGTTAGTAACATAGGGAGTATGACACATAGCTGAGCATTTCAGATTCCACCCCGTGAAGAGCAGTGCAATACATACATGCTAGGCAGTATGTTTCAACGCTGGCTAAAAAGGAAACTAAGGACACAAAGGCAATTTTTTGTTTCTATGATGCAATTCTGTATTTCATTACAGGTTTGCCACTTTCATACTACAGAAGGTAATGGAAATGCATTTATTTATTTTACCGGAATCATTACTCCACATCAAAAGAAAGAAATAGACATTGACATTTTCAGAGAACAAATGACAAAATATTAATATTGAAATGCTCTGGAGGACTAAGAAACACCTCTCCCACCATTTCCACTGGCAATCCCCATGTTTCAAGGTAGTTCAAAGTCTAGTTTGTTTGACTAAGTTTAGAAGACTTAACAATGCTACTCAATTAAAAACACGACACCTTACACCTGCCAATTGGTTGGGAAATTTCATCTCTTCCTCCCAGACAAGGACCTGACCACAGTTATCCATGCGTTTGTCAACTCAGAACACAATTTCTGTATCTGAACCTGAATGTGATGATAATGTAAAGCCTAAAGCTTGTATCTAATGTGCCTGTCCACCTTCTCCATATACCACCATGAATACTTCAGAGCTGAACTGTTGTATTTCCACCAGCTCCCAGTCCACTTGCAAACCCAATTCAAAGTCTGGGGCCTAATCTTCAAAGCCATTCATGGATCAGGCTCCAGCTATCCTAGAGGCCATTGGGGAAAAAAATTACAAAAGCACTTACGTGACTTAGAAGCTGAAGTCACAATTTCAAAAATGACAAACACCCACAACCTTATATTCCACTGACTTTCAAGTGCTTTTGTCTCTTTTGAAAATAGCAGTTAGGCACTTTTGAAAATTTTACCCCACATCTCAATTTGTGAACCAATGAGGCAGCTGTGCTCCTCTGAGACAATGCCTAGAACAAAGTGCATGAGAGCGTTGGATAAAGCACCAGAGATGATCCAGAGGTGGTTAGACTCCATGAAAATAGCTGATTTTCAGTTTTTAAAGACATTACAAGAACATTGGTCACAGGATAGTGGAGAATAGACAGTTCCTAAGGAGGATGACTGGATAACTGTGACGTTTCTTTCTTCTATTTATAACAAAACCAATCGTGGGATATATTTTTCTGAAGTTTTAGAACAGTAAGCAGTTTATTAAACACAAGGAAGTTGACTTTGAATAGCAGCATCTGAGTAGTCCCACTGACTTCAACAAGACCTATTTGTGCTTAAAGTTAAGCACATATACGTTTGATAGACTGGTGCCTAAGTTTGCAAAAAAAATATTCGGGCTATAAAGTACTTATAAAATAAAAATGACACTGTAAAATCTAATAGATTTTAATAATTGTTAAAAATCCTTGGATAATAACCTGAGAAGCTTCTTTTACTAAACAAATAGCTACATATGTATTTAATATTATTCACGGCTGCTAAAATCTAAGACATACCCATTTAATTTGACATGGAGATATGGCACCTGTCCATCAAAGTTCTACTACACAACAGCTGCCAAAAAGCAATTCAGCCTTCAGTTTGTTGTACAACGAATCTCGATTTTTGGCAAATGATACTTTATGTTCCATTACAGATCCTAGATATTGAATTCATTACACTTGTGGAAGCTGTCTTCTCGATTCACAAAATATTTAATTCCTCTCCACCACTCCTCCTGCTTTCCAACCCCCTCTGCATCTGGTTTCCATCTGCCAATGTATGTTTTAGGTTTCATTATTGTAATACCATAAATATGTGGCATAGAAAGATGAAATTAAGAGCAACTGCATTTTTGTACAGCATATTAAACATTATTTGCATCCAGAAACAAATGAAAGAGACAGAGGGTTAGTAGTTTAGATTAACGTATATTAAATAATGAACTAAAACTATTTGTCAAAACATTTTAATGTATAAAAATAAATTTTGGACAAGAGAATTAGTGGAATTTGGTTTATTGATACAAGTTCTAGGTGTGGCTGATAGTGTTGCCTATTATTAAGTTTTCCCATTACAAAAACCCTGCTTTCAGTTGTTTATAGCTTTGGAAAAATTCACTTGCTTGGGCTGAAATTTTCCATGCTGGGTGTCTGTCTCAGGCAGATATTTATTTTATTTTATTTATTAGGAAAAATGTAAGTCCTAGCAGTTGACCTGTTTTTGAGAATGAGGTTATTGAAAACTTTGCTTTACTGACATTAAAGAATTCTGGTGACCTTCTCCTTGAAAAGCTCTAATCTCCTAAGACTTTGAGGGCAAGCACTTGAAATCTGTGGAATGGACCTATGACAAATGGTCAGGCCAAGCCTTTTGCTGTCCCTGTGAAAAACTGTCCACATCTGGCCAAGTCACAAGCTTTGTAAAATCACAGTTTAAACATGCTTCACACTTACGATTTTAGCAGTTAAACGCTAAGCTGAGTAATGGGTGGAGGGAGTGGAGAGGAGCAAGTTGGGGGCCATGGCCCGGGGGCAGAGGAGAAGGGCCATTAGGCATCTCCAGGGGGGAAAAAGGCCACAGTTCAGGGACCCTTCCCCTACTTTTAGGAACCTTCTGTCACTCCTGAGGCCACAATGCACTTCCTGCTCATGGAAAACCTGCTGACAGCTATTACCCACTCAGGATCCCACAGACTGAAGAAGAGAAAAGAGGGAGGATTTATATAGATACAGGGATATTAGCCAGACATCAGAAATACACATACACTGCAGAATTCTGGCTGCTGACGACAACATTCTGGGTATTTATAGCGGGGTTAGGATTTGGTACCAAGAAAAATGTGTATAGGCTTCTTTCACAGCTGAAAGTGGGAAGGAGCAAGTTAGCAGACAGCATGGACTGCTGTACGGACAGTTGAATAAAAATAACCAATGTGTTTCCTTAAAAAAATAGATCTTACAGATGTGTAAAGTCAATCCTTCAAATGCATTATCACTAACTTAAGAACATTTTTTAAGATTACTGCTGTGAGTATTCATGAGGTAGCTGCCACTGTAATATTTGAGACTACTGTATCAGTAAAATAACAAACATTACCATCTGAAAGGGAGCCTTTTGATTCATTGTAGCACCCAATTATCTTGCCTTGATACATGGAAGCTTACTCAAGTAGCTTATGTTACAACTGGTTTCAGATGCACAAGTAAACAGAAAGCTTAAACAAACGTAAGTTTTACATCCTATTCTAACTGTGGCCAGATTTGAGATCAAATAAACCTATCCCTTAAAGCTCTACATGCATTACTAAAAGCAAAATTTAAAAACTAAAAGACATAGTGTGCATCTGCCATTTTACTGATTCAAAGTAAAAAAAGGCAAAGTAAATGAGTCACAGGGCTTTTATATTGTACATACCAAATCTTCTGCTGTCACTGGGTGTCCATTTTTGTCATTAGCCACCACCATTTTCCCCAGTCTCTCTTTCATATCTGAAAGGCTTGTGGTCAGTGCTAAAATTGCCATGATTTCACTGGCAACAGCAATGTCAAACTGAGCCTACAAAGATAAAACAAGAGTAGTAAGCCACACCAGAAGCAGGCAAGAAGATACTTTCTGAGAAAGACTACAAGAAATTTAATATATTACACCTTGACAGTAATTTAAAAAGTTCTTCAACAACAGAAATAACTAACAGTGGAACAGAAATTAGATGTTTAAAGTGATAAAATTGGGGAGGGGGATGTTTTGTCATTTCTTATTTGGGGACTCAGCACCTTGTTGTACTGAACCCTCAATTGCTATTTTCTTTAATGAGAGTTCAAGTTTCTTACCCATTGACAGAACAGGCCACTGGGTGGTCAGTGAAACAACACTAGTCAGTTTCACTTTCCACGTCACATGGTCTAGCACAGTGCTTTTAAATTTGGGTTTATAATACTGCTCAGGAATTGGTATGTTTAAAAAAATCCTCTGCAGCTCATGAAAATATTTATATTTTACGAAATTCTAAATGGGAACTACACAACTTGACAATGTTCTTTTAAAATAGGATTTTCTTAGATTTAGCATATACAATTTGTGCTTTCCCCCCTCTCATAGATTAACATGTACATAATTTTAAAAACACAGGAACTTTGTGCAACACCAGTCCTATTGCTGTTGTAGAAAGAGATCTGCACTACTTCTTTAGAAGGATCCAAACCAAGCCCCTGACAAAAGAAGCATCTCATTGATGATACTTACATGCCAAAATGACAGGCACTTTGTAAATATCTATGGCCCCAGTTCTACAAAGATGGCAGGATCAGGACCTACAACAGGCCCTTATTTCATGTACCTCATGCTGGGTACTAATATGAGAAGACTCTAGGCTTAATAAACTAAATTGGCTCTTTATTAAAGAACTGTATACAGAGCTGCTCCAGCCGCAATTTAATATTTTAAACATCTGCACAAGCCACAAGGAACGACTGCCTGATGTTCCTCCCAACTCCTCTCTCCTGCTATCCATGCTCCTCTTTCTTCCACTTTCATTCAAGTTGCTAGAGTAAATCTCCCAGCACTTGATTAAATTTAAATATGTGAATAGTTGTGCTGCCAACGTGGCAACTTGTTTGTTCAAAGTTAAATACATTCTTGAAAGCTTTTCTGGATTGGGGATATAAAGAGGCATATGTACGTACACAAATAAATAAAGACTATTTATAGGATTGGGAGCACAAATGAAAATGAATTTACAAAACAGATATTTTCAAACTTTAATTTGAGCTAGCTCTGTAGTAATTGAGAAAAAAGGTGTGCATCTAACAAAACAGGGGTACATGGTTAGATCTTCCCAGTTCTGTTAAAACATATGCTCGAGCCTTCCTAGAACTAACAAAAAGAAGAAAATCCAGGGGTTAAGGACGATACTACTCTAACATACCATGTAGCACTGAGAGACAATGAATGAATCTGTGATCAAGGAGAGATTTCAGACACCACATAAACTGCAATACCACCTAAGTTTATCAGGATGGTTGTAAGAACACAGTTTATGCTTTTAGAGTTCATATCACCATCATTAAAATTAAAATACCTATTTTCCTTTGGCATGTTAGGTTTTCATTTTTTATATAAATTAAATAGAAAGGGAAAAGAAGCCACTCCTGGAATTTGTTTGAGGAATGCTGTAACATTATTTAAAAACTGCCACCACCATAATTATTACAATACATACTATTTTATACTACCAATGTTACTTCCTCTGACACAGAAAAGGTCTAGACACCCCAGGGAACCTGAACTTCCAAACATAAGCAATTGAATCAACTGATTCTATGCCATATTTCTGTACTATAAAAGTGTATCAAGTAAGGTCTTTTATGGAAGCTAGTGACACACTAGTAATTAATATCACTGTGAAATGTCTGTGCTTTAACGACTGTAATCAGACAAAAGGAGAAACCAGTTTTCTCCCAGACTGGAGAAAAGGCAGCTGTCTACCTGTCTCCAGTATAAAGTAAGCAAGAGAGACCAACAACAATGGAAGCTCCCTTTACATAGAAATCATCAGAAGGATGAGAAGTTCACAGGAAGAGAAGGACAACAGGTTGCCTTCCTAGCATTTGAAATAAAGACAGTGAAATCTGCGGTAACATAAGGGAGGCAAAAAGACACTTGAAAAGGCTAGAGCTCTTCAAATCACAGAACAGTGGATCTTTCAGCTAAAGAGGCTATGGAAAATGAATACAGGTGAGAAACTTGATTCAACTATTAATATAACTTGCTGAGGTTAAATTTAGTCAATAAAAAGTGTATTTTGTTTTGTCTGTAACCTTTTGTACCTATCACTATCACTAGAAATCTCTTCACCCTATGTTCTTTGTTAATAAACTTATTTTTAGTGTAACTATAAACCACCTCTGTGGTATATCATAACAAGATGTGCAAGTCCTCAGCTAAATCTGGTTGGTGCTGTGTAGTGCCTCTTTAAAGAAGCAGTGAACTCAATAAGGTTCTATGGGCACATCATCAGAAGAACTGGATTACATAGCAAGCAGCTGTGGGACAACTTGGAACAGGGAAGGTGCTGGTGCTACCCTGCAAGAAGTAATTGGACTGTTGAATGCCAAGGTAAGGCTATCATGCTGTGAATCATGCTGCTGTTGATGTCAAAGCACTGAGCCAAAGCTCAGAAGCATTCAAGGCATCCAGTCAGGTGGTAACAGAATCTCTCATTGCTCTAGGTTGACCCTCTTCACATGCCTATGAAGCACTGAAAGAAGCATGAGTCTTGCAGTCAGATCTCTACCAATATAAAGATCTAACCCCGTATGGATCCAATTGCAAAAATCAATGCAAAATTCACAAAATAATCTTTGGAAACTGCAGCATCATTAAAATGCACATCCTCTCTTCTGTCTTCCCAGATAGCTGCAGCGGCACAGGAGCCAAGCAAACAGAGCTGTAAGCAGGGGAGTTTGAGTGGGAGTTTGGATATTGGGACTTGTTTGGAGTTTGTTTTTGCTGTGGAGAGGGTGTTTTGGTTTGTTTTTGTGTTCACTGGACTAATAGGATTCTGGTGAGAAAGTAGATAAAACAGAGAGGCATTAGTGGCCATGGCCCAAGTAGTAGAGAACACAAGGAGGATGATTGGATGTGGTAGCTGTGGTATGTACATGATTCTGGAGGGGGTACCTGAAAGGAGTTTTGTTTGCATGAAGTGCCGCCTGATAGAGATGATGGAAGAAAAGATCCGAGGACTGGAGATGCAGTTGGAAACTCTGGTCGAGTTTAGAAGGGGGTTTGAGCAGATGATGGGGCAAAGGCATGACGTGGCTGAAGGGGAAAGCTTAGATATGCAGATGGAAGCAGGATCAAGGGCCTCAGAGGGGGGACTGGTGGGCAAAGAAAATGGACAGTGGAAGCATGTGACTCAGAGAACCAGGCAGAGGAAAAGATGGGTCAGTGAAGGAAAAATGGAGCTCAACAACAGGTATGTGGAGCTGGAGAATGAAGAAGGGGTACAGCAGGTAGATAATGAAGATGGAAGGGTAAGGAAGAAGAGAAGAGTGGCTAGTCCCATAGATAAAGGGGAAGACTTAATGGAGACAACACCAATAATGAGCATTAGGAGGATACAGGATGGGTTAAAGAGGATTACAAGGGAAAATAGGAATGGCAAGGACTTGCAGCCAGAGGAAGCTAGAGATAGACCAGAGAATTTCACTGTCACTAGGAAAAGGCAGGTCTATGTGATTGGGGACTCCTTATTGAGAAGAATAGATAGGCCTGTAACCAGAGCTGATCCAGAGAATAGAAGGGTGTGCTGTCTGCCAGGTGCTAAGATACGAGATGTGGAACGGAGGTTGAAGAGAATTATTAAGGGAGCAGGAAGGAATCCATTGATCATCCTTCATGTAGGAACAAATGATACGGCTAGATTATCGCTGGAACGAATTAAGGGAGACTATGCTACGTTGGGGAGGATGCTCAAGGAAATTGAGGCTCAGGTGATCTTTAGTGGGATTCTGCCTGTTCCTAGAGAAGGGCAACTAAGATGTGACAGGATTATGATGATCAATAGATGGCTTTGGCAATGGTGCTATAAGGAGGGCTTTGGGATGCATGGTCACTGGGAGGCATTTATGGACAGAGAACTGTTCTCTAGGGATGGACTTCACCTAAGTAGGGAGGGAAATAGACTTCTAGGATGGAGGCTGGCTCAA